CACACACACACACACACACACACACACACACACACACACACACACACACACATGAAGACGAAGCCACCAACAAACGGCTGAACACAAATCGGGACAAATCGTAGAGGGCTGAGTGTGAACCCTGTCAGTCTTCTTGACCTAATTCTGACCCACGGAGCGCACGCTGCATCTGTGTGATTACATTCAGTGTGCGTATGTGTGTGTGTGCACCTGAACACAGGTGCCAATCTTCTCCTTCGTCATTGTTAACCTGTGTTTTCCATCCTGCCCTTCCTCGTCTCTCTGTCTCCCTCTTCCAGGTGGAGGAGTTTAAAAATGACCCCAGCCCCTCCAAGTGTCTGCACTCGGTGTTTAACGTGGACACCGGTGACGAGGTGTACACGTACAGCGACTATCACCACCTACAGGTCAGCCCGGGACCACACAGGAGGAGAAACACAAACAACAAAACAATTTGTTTGGGTCAAACCTTGAAAATAATGTCACGCATGACTCTTGACTCCCATCACAATAAACTTTAACTCATTATCTGTAAAACTGAGTTATAGCCAGTTATATATAAACAGGATGAGTAAGTTAACCCACACATCACTTAGGTTCTGCTGATTTTTTTATTTTTATTTTTTTATTTCTCACAGAACAAAATCTATCACTTCTTCAGACCTCTGTAACACGTGCATGTGTGGTTAGAGAAAGAACTTTCCTGGAGAAGTGGGCGCGCATTAAACCGCCACTAAAACAGTTTATTCTTCCGTCAATGCTATCGACAGAGGTCAGTTTGATGTGCTGCGTTTGGATGGAGCCGGCGTTTCTTGTGAAGAATGGCCGATGCATCAAGAGGGCCTGAGATTGGAAATCAAAACGCTGCTGCAAAGTTAGGTGGTTGTGACAAAGACGCGCTCAGAAACAGCAAGGTTGTGGAGATGTGGAGCCTCTGCTCTGCGCACATTTAGTCCTTGGCTGTTATTCTTTCTCTATAACTTTACTGTTATGAATGATGGCGGCCCAATGCCACAGGCCTAATGGCCAACATAAAGCTCATGTGTCGGCGGTCACAGTCTGCAGGAAATCGACTATTGATAAATTAGAGAATAACATACAGAGTGCAGATGACAGTGTTTTTTTGCAGCCCCTCACCCTCGCCCTGTCCTTTATTTTGTGGTTCCTGCAGATCGATGCTGTTTCTCTGTTCCTGCTGTACCTGGTGGAAATGATCTGCTCTGGTCTGCAGATCATTTACAACACTGATGAGGTAAACAAAACTAAAACAACATTAGGTGTCATCACCTTTAAACAATTGAAATTTACATCCTACATATTCTGGATGTGTCTGCTTTTAACCTTACTAGTTCACTAAAGGCTAAAAGAAATGATACCAGATTGCTTTAATCTCTCTCTCTCTCTCTCTCTCTCTCTCTCTCTCTCTCTCTCTGTCTGTCTGTCTGTCTGTCTGTCTGTCTGTCTGTCTGTCTGTCTGTCTGTCTGTCTGTCTGTCTGTCTGTCTGTCTGTCTGTCT